AGGAGGAGAGGGAGGAGGAGAGAAGAAGAAATGTGGACATTTCAATGCATGGTGACCAAAGGCAGAAGAATCCTTGTCATTTTTTTTTTTATTTTTTTATTTTTTGCTTTTGTGGAAAAACAAATGTAATTCAAGAGACAGCAGAGGGAAAAGGCACAGAAGTGAAGTGAAGACGCCAGCAGTGTCTGCTTGGAGCTGCTTTCCGCTGTGCCCTCTTCAGAGACTCAACCCTCTCTGCTCCTTTCCTCCCCTCTGAATGCTCGTGACACCTGGGGCTGGGTTGAGAGTATTTTCCTTCACTCCTCAGAGCCTCAGACTATCACAGATGCGGGGAGACTTTGATCTGCTGAATCCTGTTCCTCCCAGGAAGCCACTGGGGTCTGCAGAAACACCCCTATAACCCCTGGGGCTCCTGTCCCACTGAGCCGTCCATGAGGTGTCCAGGGGGTCAGCGGGTCAGCTCCCCTGTGTGCATGGTGTGGGGCAGGGGAGCCAGATGTCCCCTTCAACCCCCTTCAGCTCTTGGTGAGCTCTGTAGCTGCAAACAGAAACCAAGTTGGTACCGGGCAGATTAACAAAGGAAAACATGGACCGTGCTGCCTGCAGGAAGAGACAGGTTGGCTAGCCCTTTCCGAAACTACAATTTCTCCAGTGTTTCTGACTCAAAATATGCAAGATACCAATCCGGCATATTTTGGGAAGGCACGTCCTTCACTCCTTCAGCAGACCAAATAGGAAATCATATCCTAGGGTACATGTGAGCTACCCTGGTGATGTCTACAAATCTCAGTGTCTACAAGACATGGGAACTCTCTGCAAACTTCAATGTAAACGGAGAGGTGGGCAGGAGGGAGAGATACAGAGGGACAGAGAGAGAGAGAGACAATAAGAAAAATTAGAGACAGAAAAGAGGGAAAACAGGAGGGAGAGAGAGGAAGAGAAGAGAGAAAGAGAAGGAGAAGAAAGGAGGAAGAGGAGGAGATGGGGAAGAAAAGGAGGAGAGAGATAGCAGAAAGAAAGAGTAAGAAAGATAGAAAGGAGAGAGTGGAGAGAGAGAAGAGAATATGAGAAATGCAGTGTGAAACAGAGCGAGAAGAGAGAGGGTAGGAAGGAGAGAGAGAGAGAGAGAGAGAGAGAGAGAGAGAGAGAGAGAGAGAGAGCTCACACAACCACCTGGGGTAGCTATACTTAAAAAGCCAACAGGCCCAGGACTAAAGGCAGAAAACAAATCCCTGTACTCTATTAGTTTCACATATTTTTCTCTTCCCTAAAACATTATGAATTTTTTCACCCCGACTCATAGGAATTTTAATGAGAAGAGTCAAACTCTGTAAAATATTTGAAGAGATTTATTTTGAACAAATATTACAGGAAAGGGGTCCAGGAAACAGACCCCGCATAAGGATTCTTAGATCTGTCGCAAGAAATAATTCAGGGCAAGTCTACAGAGTAAAGTGAAAGCAAGTTTATTAGGAAAGTAAAGGAACAAAAGAACAGCTACTCCGTAGACAGAGCAGCCCCGAGGGCTGCTGGTTGACCATTTTTATGCTATTTCTTATTCAAATGCTAAACAAGGGGTTGATTATTTCAATCTCCTCTTTTTAGACCATATACGGTAGGTAATTAACTGATGTTGCCAAGGCATTTGCAAAGTGTCATGGCGCCGGTGGGAGTATAGCAGGGAGGACGATCAGACATCACTCTACTCACCATCTTGAGTATGTCAGTCCCATTCACCCCCAAGACACCATAGAAACTAGAATCTCTCCTCCCCAAGATGGGTCCCAGAAACAAGACCACCTTTTCCCCAAAGCCAGGCATAAAACCTAAAAATATGACTCAAATTCCCTCCACCCGCCTTTCCTTGTAAAAACTGGCCATAAAGAAATGATCTGAGGGCCAGGCACAGTGGCTTACACCTGTAATTCCTGCACTTTGGGAGGCTGGGGTAGGAGGATTCCTTGAGTCCACAAGTTGGAGACCAACATGGGACACTTCCTGTTTCTTCCATGTAAAACTTTCTGTTCCTCCCCAGTGCAGAACACACTTCCTGTGTCTCCCCTGTGATGGACACACTTCCTGTCATTCTCCTAAGAGAGATACACTTCCTGTGTCTCCCCTGTGACGGACACACTTCCTGTCATTCTCCTAAGAGAGATACACTTCCTGTGTCTCCCCTGTGACGGACACACTTCCTGTCATTCTCCTAAGAGAGATACACTTCCTGTTTCTTCTCTGTGCAGGACACACTTCCTGTTACTCTCCTTAGAAACACTTCTTGTGTCTCTCCTATGCAGGACACACTTCCTATTTCTCCCCTGTGAAGGACACACTTTCTGTTTATCCTTTGTGCAAGACACACTTCCTGACCCTACCCGTGCAGGACACATATCCTATGTCTACCTATTGCAGGACATACTACTGGTATCTCCCCTGTGCATAGCACACTTCCTGTTATTCTCCTGAGAGACATACTTCCTGTTCCTTCCCTGCGGAAGACACACTCCCTGTGTCTCCCCTTGTGTCACACACTATCTGTTCCTCCTCTGAGGGGTATACACTTTCTGTTCTTTCCCTCTGCAGTTCAGACTTCTTGTTACTCTCCTGAAACAGACACACTTCCTGTTTCGCCCTGGTGCAGGACACATTTCCTGTGTCTTACCTGTGAAGGACATGTTTCCTGTTACTCTCCTGAGAGAGACACAATTATCGTTCCTGCCTTGTTCAGGACACACTTCCTGTTCTTATCCTGCCCAGCACACACTTTCTGTTTCTGTCTTGTGCAAGTCACACTTCTTGTTACTCTCCTGAGACAGACAAACTTCCTGTTCTTTCTCTGTGCATGACACACTTCCCGTGTCTCCCCTGTGCTGAACATACTTCTTGTTACTCTCCTGAGACAGACACACTTCCTGTTCTTCCCTGTGCATGACATACTTCCTGTTTCTTGCCAGTGCAAGACAGACTTAATGTTTCTCCCCTGTGAAGGACACACTTCATATTCCTACCCTGTGCAGCACATGGTTTCTGTATCTGTCCTGTGCAAGACCACTTCTTGCTACTCTCCTGAGAAAGACAAACTTCCTGTTCTTCCCCTGTGAATGAGACACTTTTTGTGTCTCTCCTGTGCATGACACACTTCCTGTTTCTTGCCTGTGCAGGGTACACTTCCTGTTCCTCCCCTGTGAAGGACACGCTTCCTGTTCCTCCCCTGTGAAGGACACACTTCCTGTGCATACTCTGTGAAGCACACACTTTCTGTTCCTGTCCTGTGTGGGACAGACTTCTTGTAACTGTTCTGAGACAGACACACTTCTTTTTATTTTGGTTGTTGTTTTTAGGTTTCTCTGTCACTCAGGCTGGAGTACAGTGGTACAATCTTGGCTCACTGGAAGCTCCACTTTCTGTATTCAAGAGATTCTCCTACATCAGCCTCCTGATTAGCTGGGATTACAGGCGTGTACCACCAAGCATAACTAATTTTTCTATTTTAGTCGAGATGGTGTTTCACCATTTGGTTAGGCTAGTCTCGAACTCCAAAGCCCATGATCTGCCTGATTTAGACTCCCAAAGTGTTCAGATTACAGGCGTGAGGCTCCATGCCAGGCCCATACACACTTCATGTTCTTCCTCTGTACAGGACACACTTCCTGTTGCTCTCCAGAGACAGACGTACTTCCTGTTTTTCCTCTGCGCAGGACACACTTCCTGTGATTCTCCTGTGCAGGACACACTTCCTGTCACTTGCCCGAGACTAATGTACTTCCTTTTCTTCCTTTATGCAGGACACACTTCCTGTGTTTCTCCTGGGCAGCACACACTTCCTGTTGCTCTCTTGAGATGGACCTACTTCATGTTCTTCCTGTTTGAAGGACACACTTCCTGTGTTTTTCCTGTGCAGGACACACTTTCTGTTGCTCTCCTGAGACAGACGTACTTCCTGTTTTTCCTTTGTGCAGGACACACTTCCTGTGTCTCTCCTGAGACAGACATACTTTCTGTTTTTCCTCTGCGCAGGACACACTTCCTGTCTTTCTCCCGTGCAGGACACAGTTCCTTTTGCTCTCCTGAGACCGATGTACCTCCTGTTCTTTCTCTGCGCAGGAAACACTTTCTTTGTTTCTCCTGTGCAGGACACACTTCCTGTTGCCCTCCTGAGACAGATGTACTTTCTCTTTTTCCTCTGTGCAGGACTCACTTCCTGTTGCTTCCCTGAGACTGACGTCCTTTCTGTTCTTCCCCTGTGCATGACACACTCCCTGTGTTTTCCTTGTGCAGGACACACTTCCTGTTGCTCTCCTGACAGATGTAGTTCCTGTTTTTTCTCTGTGCAGGACTCACTTCCTGTGTTTCTCCTGTGCAGGACACGCTTCCTGTTGCTGTCCTGAGTCAGACCTACTTCCTTTTCTTTCTCTGTGCAGGACACACTTCTTCTGTTTCTCCTGTGCTAGACACACTTCCTGTCACTCTCCTAAGACAGACATATTCCTACCCTGTGCAAAACAGACATATTTTCTATTCCTTCCTTGTGCAAGACACAGTTTCTGCTTTTGTTCTGTGAAGGACACTCCTCTTCTTTCAGCTCTGTTAATGACACACTTTGTGTGCCTCTCCTATGCAGCACACACTTTCTATTTCCCATCTGTGCAGGACACACTTCCTGTTTCTTTTCTGTGCAGAACACACTTCTTGTCTCCCCTGTACAGGACACATCTCCCGTTTATCCTCTATGCAGGACACAATTTTTGTTCCTACCCTGTGTGAGACATACTTCCTGTGTCTCCTTTTAGCGGGACACACTCCCTGTTCCTACCCCGTGCAGCACACACTTTCTATTGCCATGGAGGCGTGGCCTGGGCGTGGCCTCGCGGGAGGTCAATGGAGGCGTGGCTTGGGCGAGACATCGCGGGAGGTCGATGGAGGCGTGCTCTGGGCGTGGCCTAGAGGCGGGGTCGCTGGCGTAGTGGTTTGGGCGTGACCTTGCGGGAGGTCGATGGAGGCGTGGTCTGGGCGTGGCCTCGCGGAGGCGGAACTCCGGCCGCGGTATTTCCGGAGCCGCGCTGCTCACGCAGCTGGCTTCGGGCTCAAGTCTGCGGCCTCCCGGCTCCCGGCGTGGACGCCATGGTGCTGTTCCCGGTTATCGGGAAGCTGCTGCACAAACGCGTGGTGCTGGCCAGCGCCTCTCCACGCCGCCAGGAGATCCTCAGCAACGCGGTGCGACCTGGGCCTGGGCTGGGCGGGGGACCCGGGACGGAGGGGCCGAACCAGCTGGGCCCAGCGACTCAGGACCCTAGGGATGGGGGAGGGGAGAGTGACCCGGGACCCCCAAGGATGGAGGAGGGGAGAGTGACCGGGACCCCCAGGGATGGGGAAGGGGAGAGCGACCCGGGACCCCCAAGGATGGTGAGCTGGAGAGTGACCCGGGACCCCCAAGGATGGAGGAGGGGAGAGTGACCGGGACCCCCAGGGATGGGGAAGGGGAGAGTGACCCGGGAACCCCCAGGGATGGTGAGGGTGAGAGTGACCCGGGACCCCTAGATATGGAGGAGGGGAGAGTGACCTGGGACCCCCAGGGATGGGTAGTAGAGAGACCCGGGAACCCTAGGGATGGGGGAGGGGAGAGTGACCCGGGAACCCCAGGGATGGGGGAGGGGAGAGTGACCCGGGAACCCCAGGGATGGCGGGGGGGGGGGGGAGAGTGACCAGGGACCCCTAGGGATGGGGGAGGGGAGAGTGACCCGGGACCCCTAGGGATGGGAAAGGGAGAGTGACCTGGGACCCCTAGGGATGGGGAAGGGAGAGTGACCTGGAACCCCTAGGGATGGGGAAGGGAGAGTGATCCGGGACGCCTAGGGATGGGGAGGGGAGAGTGACCCTGTAGCCCTAGAGATTAGGGAGGAGAGTGACCCGGGATCCTTACAGATGGGGGAGGGGAGACTGACCAGGGACCCCTAGGGATAGGAGGTGAGAGTGACCAGGGACCCTTAGGGATGGGGGAGGAGAGAGACCAGGGACCCCTAGGGATGAGGGAGGGGAGAGTGACCCTGGACCTGTAGGGGTGGGTGAGGAGAAACTGACGGAACCCCTAGGGATGGGGGGTGAGAGTGACCCAGGACCCATAGGGTTGGGGCAGGGGAGTGACCCAGGACCCCTAGGAATGAGGGGAGGGGGAAGAATGACCCAGGACTCCTAGGGATGTGGGAGAGAAAAGGGACCTAAGTCTTCTATGGATGGAGTGGTTCCTAGTGGCTGAAGGTTGGCTTTGCAGGTGGCCTGTGGGATGTGTTTTCTAGAACACTGGATGGTGGAGATTTGATTGTGGGTGGTAGGTGCTAAGGCAGTGGGTGTCTGCTTCTTCTGCCTCGGCCTCCCAAAGTGCTGGGATTACAGGTCTGAGCCACCACACCCGGCCAAGAATAAATTCATTTTTACATAGGCCCTTTAAACTGGTTTTGATGGAACTTTGTTCCACACAAGGAATCTAAGGAAGGACCTTTTTTTATTTGAGACGGAGTCTCACTCTGTCACCCAGGCTGGAGTGCCCTGGCGCAGTCTCAGCTCACTGCAATCTCCGCCCCCCCCCCCGCCCGGGTTCAAGTGATTCTCTGCCTCAGCCTCCCGAGTAGCTGGGATTACAGGTGCTTGCTACTGCACCCAGCCAAGTTTTGTATTTTTAGTAGAGACGGGGTTTCAACATCTTGGCCAGGCTGGTCTTGAACTCCTGACCTCGTGATCCACCCACCTCCGCCTCCCAGAGTGCTGGGATTACAGGCGTCAGCCACCACCCCTGGCCCCAGATAGGACCTCTTTAAAGCTGAGCCCACCATGGGTTTGCACCATTAAATACCTATGAGTTGGGCGAATTCCTTTCCTCTTGAGGTTTCAAGGTAATTTGGGGTTCCTGGCCTGTGAGAAAGGGACAGTCTTAGCGCGGATTAGGGACTTTGTACGGTGACTGTGTACACAGAAGATGAGGCCAGTTTCCAACGGTTTTATTGGCTCCATAAGTCAAGTGGGATTTTTTTTTTTTTTTTTTTTTGGGAGACGGAGTCTTGCTCTGTCGCCCAGGCTGGAGCACAGTGGCACAGTCAGCTCACTGCAACCTCCGCATCCCGGGTTCAAGCGATTCTCCTGCCTCACCCTCCCCAGTAGCTGGGACTATAGGTGTGCGCCACCAGGCCCAGCTAATTTTTTTGTATTTTTAGTAGAGACGGGGTTTCACCATGTTGGCCAGGATGGTCTCGATCTCTTGACCTCGTGATCCGCCTGCCTCGGCCTCCCAAAGTGCTGGGATTACAGGCGTGAGCCACTGGGCCCGGCCTCAAGTTTGATTTTGTAGAGGGGTGCACACCATTCCAGCCAAAGCCTTCACAAAATAACCAGTTTTTCCCGTTGTGTCCTCTTACTAAAGAAAACAGATTTTTTTTTTGTTTTTCTTTTTGAGACGGAGTGTCACATTTCTGTCCAGGCTGGAGTGAAATGGCGTGATCTTGCCTCAGTGCAACCTCTACCTCCCAGGTTCAAGTGATTCTCCTGCCTCCCGAGTAGCTGGGATTACAGACACACGCCACCATGACCAGCTTAGTTCTTGTATTTTTGGTAGAGACGGGGTTTCAACATCTCGGCCAGGCTGGTCTCGAACAGCTGACCTCAGGCAGTCCACCCGCCTGGGCCTCCCAAAGTGCTGAGATCACAGGCGTGAGCCACCCAGCCTGGCCAGAAAGCAGATTGTTACTGCACTTACGCAAATAACTTTATTGCCATAAATTAAGAAGAATTAAAATGTGAAAAAGATCACCCCAGTCTCCTATTGGTTGAGTCCATTCCGTTCATTTCCGTCCTACTTGATATTAATGAATATTCTGGCTTTTCAAAAATCCCAAACTTCTTTCCTTTCTATTCTGATGTGACAATCTCCAAAGTTGTCAGAAACCTGCATTCACGAGCATCTGTTAGAGCTTTGCAGCTGATTATAAAAGCACCTTTTAAGCAGGATCAGGCCAGGCACTGGGGCTCCCCATCCCAGCATTTTGGGAGGTGGAGGCAGGTGGATCTCCTGAGTTCAGGAATTCAAGACCAGCTTGTCCAACAGCGAAACCCCATCTCTACTAAAAACACAAAAATTAGCTGAGTGTGGTGGCGGGCACCTGTATTCCCAGCTCCTTGGGAGGCTGAGGCAGGAGAATCGCTTGAACCCGGGAGGCGGAGGTTGCAGTGAGCCGAGATCACACCACTGCATTCCAGTCTGGGCGACAGAGCGAGACTCCATCTCAAAAAAAAAAAAAAAAAAAATTCCAAACTTACTAAGTTGGATGGCTCAGTTCAAATGTCTGCAGGCCTGACCTAGTTTTATTTATTGACTTAGTTTATGTTTAGCTTTGAGGCAGAGACGCTAACAGCCCTTTCCCAGAACCAGCTTCCTTCACATCTCTGGGCTGAACTGCCTGAGGCCACAAGATCAGAAGTTAAGGTGTTCTCCTAAGTAGTTCAAGGTCCAGTATCGGTGTTTTATTTACTAAAAAAATGCACAAGCAAAGATGATTCTGTTTGGGCTGAGTTATACTTGTGTAGCCTTTATGCCAAGTTGTGACACCTTGTAGTATTTGGCAGAGGTAAGTAAGAAACCATTTGATTGATAAACACACAGAAATATGTAGGCCGGCAGCCTTTAAGGCACTTTTAATGCTGCTGTACCCATAATTTTTAAACATTCAAGTTACATGAACTGACTGATCTCAGAGCTTTTGCTTTTTCCCCAAAAATATTTGACTTAAGGCCGGGCAAGGTGGCTCATGCCTGTAATCCCAGCACTGCGGGAGGCCGAGTCAGAAGGATCACGAGGTCAGGAGTTTGAGACCAGCCTGGCCGACATAGTGAAACTCCGTCTCTACGAAAAACACAAAAATTAGCCAGGTGTGGTGGCACGCACCTATAGTCCCAGCTGCTCAGGAGGCTGAGGCAGGAGAATCGCTTGAACCCTGGAGGTTGCAGTGATCTGGGATCACGCCACTGCACTCCAGCCTGGGTGACAGAGCAAGACTCCGTCTCAAAAAAAAGTATTTGTCTTAAGTGCTTATTTTTTTATAGGCCAGTTACATGGAGCTCTTTTAATAGACATGGCACACATACGGCACAGATAGTCACATAGGAAATCAGAAGAAGATTCACTAATTATAAGATTTCTTTTTTCTTTTTTTTATTGTAGAGACGGAGTTTTGCTCTGTCACCAGGCCGGAGTGCAGTGGCGTGACCTCGGCTCACTGCAGCCTCCGCCTCCCGGGTTCAAGGGATTCTCCTGCCCCAGCCTCCCGAGTAGCTGGGACTACAGGCACCCACTACCACACCCAGCTAATTTTTGTCTTTTTAGTACAGATGGGGTATCACCACGTTACCCAGGCTGGTCTTGATCTCCTGACCTCCGGTGATTCACCCACCTCGGCCTCCGAAAGTGCTGGGATTACAGGCGTGAGCCACCGCGCACGGCCTCCTATTCATTTTTAATTCCAGGGGTTCCATAAGGAAAACAGATTTTTCCCCAAATGGGATTTGTGGTGCCTTTTCTGTTTTCTCAAGGAGTCCCAGGCCACCAGAACTTGTCTTAGGGTCTCTTATACATGCAGCATGGGAGACAGGACAGAGTGGAGAAAAGAAATCAAGTCGAATGAGCAAAAAACCTTTCCAGGAAAACAAGATTTATTTTTCATTTATTTATTTATTAGATGACGCGTCACGTTGTCACTCAGGCTGGAGCGCAGTGGTGCAATCTCGGCTCACCGCAACCTCCGCCTCCCGGGTTCCAGGTTCCAGCAATTCTCCTGTGTCAGCGTCCCGAGTAGCTGGGACTACAGACGCATGCCAGCACGCCCTGCTCATTTTTGTAATTTTGGTAGGATCAAGGTTTCACCATATCGGTCAGGCTGCTCGGGAACTCCTGACCTCGTGATCCACCCATCTCGGCCTCCCAAAGTCCTGGGATTACAAACCTGAGCCACCGTGTCCTGCCAAAAAAAATATTTAGGAACAGAAAACCATAAAGGCCTTTTGAGTATATTTACAGCTTGGATATCTATTTTAATGAAGCTGAGCTCTTTTGTTTGTTTTTTAAAGCATGGCTGAGGGTGGAGGTTAGAATGACATACATGTTGTGCCAAGTTACATTAAATGATTGGGTTATGTACAGGAATTACATGTGATAATGAGAGGGACTTTCAGAGGACCATCTCAGGAGCTGTTCGATCTGTGATAAATCAGACCTGGAGAAGTGCAGGAAGCAAGCATTGCCTTCAGCCCGAGGCACCTCCCAGATCGGGAGAAGGGCAGCCTAGCTTGGACTGCTTGAACCATTTTAGGATGGAAAACGGGAGAGGCCAGGCTTGGGGCTAAAGGCTTGCGGGCAGGAGGGACGGAGAGTGAGGATGGGTGAGGAACGGATGCAGGGTTTGAGAGTACAGAGAGTTTATCTGCAGGATCAAAAGGGGTTTGGGAGGAAGAGGTTTCCAAGGAAGGAGAGACCTGTGGACCGTTTTCATTAAGAAAAAGGATGGGGCCGGGCGCGGTGGCTCAAACCTGTAATCTCAGCACTTTGGGAGGCCAAGGCAGGTGGATCACGAGGTCAGGAGTTCGAATCTAGCCTGGCCAACGTGGTGAAACCCCGTCTTTACTAAAAATCTGAAAATATTAGCCAGATATGGTGGCGGGCACCAGTAATTCCAGCTACTCAGGAAGCTGAGGCAGGAGAATCGCTTGAACCTGGGAGGTGGAGGTTACAGTGAACCGAGATCGTGCCACTGTACTCCAGCCTGGCCACAGAATGAAACTCCATCTCAAAAAGAAAAAAAAAAATTAAAAGAGGATGGTCAACCTAAGAAGAAACTCGGCATCCCCAAGATTTCTTCTACCTAAGTCTGCTGCTACCCACTGCTTCTGGGTTGCAAGAGAGCCTCTGCCCCCAACACCCATCCCAGGTTTTGGCACCAAATGTAAGTTAAAGAAAGAGGAAGGAAACAAGAAAAGTGGCTCAACTGTGAACGACAGGTTTATTTTGGAGGATAAACCTGAGCGGGGCTTCCGGTAGAGTTAGGTCAGGAGCGTTCTCTCCTACAGACTCAGGGCGCTTAAGGGTTTAGGAAGGGGGAGCATATTGCAGGCTCGGAATGTCTCTGTGTGAGGGAAAGTTTATTGCGGGGTTGACGTGTCTCTGGTTGGAAGGGAGGTTATCTTGGGGTTGGCGTGTTTCTGGTCGCAGGGCGTTTATTCCAGAGCTGGAATCTTTCTGATCATGCTGATATCAGCCATTAGGCTGATGTTTTTCTGCTGGATTTAGGTGGTTTTTAATCAAGGGAACTTCAAATGGCAGTCTGTGTCCAAGATGGCGCCATGTGTCCAAGATGGTGCCGTGTGTCCCAGTTGGTGGATTGCGTCCAAGATGGTGCAGTGTGTCCAACACAGTGTGTGTCCAAGATGGCAGTGTGTATATCCAAGATGGTACTCTGTGTGCAAAATAGTGCTGTGTGTCCAAGATGGCACTGTCTGGCCAAGATGGTAGCGTGTGTCCAAGATGGCACTGAGTGTATTCAAGACAGCAGTGTATGTATCCAAGATGGTGCTGTGTGTTCAAGAATGTGGCATGTGTCCAAGATGGGGCTGTGTGTCCAAGATGGAGGCGTGTGTCCAAGATGGCGGCGTGTGTCCAACATGGTGGCGTGTGTCCAAGATGGCGGCATGTGTCCAACATGTCAGCGTGTGTCCAACATGGCACTGTATGTCCAAGATGGAGGCGTGTGTCCAAGATGGCGGCATGTGTCCAACATGTCAGCGTGTGTCCAACATGGCGCTGTGTGTCCAAGATGGCGGCATGTGTCCAACATGTCAGCGTGTGTCCAACATGGCGCTGTGTGTCCAAGATGGCGGCATGTGTCCAACATGTTGGCATGTGTCCTACATGGCTGTGTGTGTCCAAGATGGAGGCATGTGTCCAACATGTTGGCATGTGTCCTACATGGCTGTGTGTGTCCAACATGTTGGCGTGTGTCCTACATGGCTGTGTGTGTCCTACATGGCTGTGTGTGTCCAAGATGGCGGCGTGTGTCCAACATGGCGCTGTGTGTCCAAGATGGAGGCGTGTGTCCAAGATGGCCATGCTCCTGCTCAGTCAGAGGCGAGATGTGGAGTTCCCTGGGTCTTGGCAGGTGTGGCAGCCATGGCCACCCACACTGGGGGCAGTGACCACCATCATTCCTGACTCCACAGCCTCTGCGGGGGTCACTGCCTCCAGGCCAGGTCTCCCAGCAGATGGTGTGGTCTGGGATTGACTTAGAGCCAGCTTTCATGCCCCTCATGCAGCCGCCATTGCTGGCATTTTTCCGGAATTCTCTATGGATGGATGTTCTTGTCTGTCCCAAACTTCCGGGCTCCAGGAACCCTCTGACGAGGCTGGCTTGTGGGTTCATGGCCCGAGTCGGCATTCCCTGCCAGCCTCTCTGTTCTGGCTTTTTCCTTTGCCAGCCTTTTCCCTCGAGAGCCAGAAAGACCCCTTGTCAGTCCCTAAAGTCCCCTGGCCGGACCCCCGAAGGCCCCCTAGCCACACTTAGGGAAAGCTCAGCAGATGGATGAGGTCACCCAGGAGAGGACCGGGGAGTGTAGCCAACGCCACGCGTCCTGCTCATCTTGCGCGTTACGTTCCGTCTTCTCGGGGTCTGTCGTCAACCCTCCTGACCCCTTTCTTCTGTTGCAGGGTCTCCGGTTTGAGGTGGTCCCCTCCAGGTTCAAAGAGAAGCTGGACAAAGCCTCCTTCGCCACGCCGTATGGGTACGCCATGGAGACCGCCAAGCAGAAGGCTCTGGAAGTGGCCAACCGCATGTACCAGGCAAGGGGGCCCTTCCTTTCGCCCTCATGACCATTCCATTGATAGGCTGGGCGCGCAGGCTGAGGCCTGTAATCCCAGCACTTTGGGAGGCCGAGGCAGGTGCATCGCAAGGTTAGAGTTCAAGACCAGCTGGGCCAAGATGGTGAAACCCCGTGTCCACTACAAATACAAAAATTAGCCAGGTTTGGTGGTGCACGCCTGTAGTCCCAGCACTTTGGGAGGCTGATGGGGTGGATGACAGGGTCAGGAGTTCGAGACCAGCCTGGCCAACATGGTGAAACCCTGTCTCTACTAAAAATACAAAACTTAGCCAGGTGTGGTAGCGGGTGCACCTGTAATCCGAGGTAGTCAGGAGGCTGAGGCAGGAGAATTGCTTGAACCCGGGAGGCGAATATTGCAGAGAGCAGAGATCATGCCTCTGCACTCTAGCCTGGGCCACAGAGTGAGACTATCTCAATAAAAAAACAATAAAAGAAAGTTTCTTTGCTATAACAAGGGGATTTGCAGGTCTTAAATATATATGATACAAATAAATGTCATTTACAAGATGCAATTGGTGGCACAGCCTCGCTGTTACTATGTTATAATGTCATGTACTATGACAAGTGACGAATAGCATCATTTATGGTACAGGATTAACGGAGCTTATCTATTGCGATGTGTTATAAGAATCTCTCGCAATTGATAGAATAGCATAATTTATCATATAGAATTGATGAAGCTTATGTGACTATATGTTATAATATTCTCTTGAATTGATATAAAATAGCATCATTTGTGATGTAGAGTTAACGGAGCTTATCTATTGCGATGTGTTATAATATTCTCTTGCAATTGACATAATAGTATCTTTTTTTTTTTTTTGAGGTGGAGTCTCACTTTGTTGCCCAGGCTGGAGTGCAATGGCACGATCTCAGCTGACTGCAACCTCCGCCTCCCACGTTCAAGCGATTCTCTTGCCTCAGCCTCCCGAGTAACTGGGATTACAGGTGCGCCACCACGCCCGACCGATTTTTGTACTTTTAGTAGAGATGGGTTTCAGCATGTTGGCCAGGCTGGTCTCGAACTCCTAACCTCGTGATCTGCCTGCCTCGGCCTCCCAAAGTGCCAGGATTACAGGCGTGAGCCACTGTGCCCAGCAGTATTATTTATGTTGTAGAATGAATGGAGCTTATGTTTGACTATGTGTTATAATATTCTCTCGCAACTGATGTAACAGCATCATTTATGGTATAGAATTTCTGGACCTTATCTATGACTCCGTGTTATAATATTCACTTGCCGCCAAGTGCCGTGGCTCACACCTGTAATCCCAGCACTTTTGGAGACTGAGGTGGGCAGATACCTGAGGTCAGGAGTTCAAGACCAGCCTGGCCAACATGGTGAAACCCCGTCTCTACTAAAGATAGAAAAATCAGTCGGGCGTGGTGGCGCACCTGTAATCCCAGTTACTCGGGAGACTGAGGCATAAGAACACCTTGAACCCTGAGGCAGAGATTGCAGTGAGCTGAAATTGAGCCATTGCACTCCAGCTTGGAGTCCATCTAAAAAATTAAAAAATAATAATAATATCAGTTACAATATATCATATGAACATAGCTATTACTGTGTGTTCTAACACACTGACAAGGAAGCCATTAGTATCATTTAGGATATAGAATTATTGTAGCTTATGGATTACTATATGTTGTGTAACAGACAACTGCAATTAATGTATTATCGTCCACAGTATGTACAATTACCATAGCTGTCACTGTGTCGTAACGCGCTGTCACAATGAACCTCACGGTGTCCTTGAGGGCAGAGAGTTACTGTAGCTTAGCCATGGCTGTGGGTTACCATACAGTACACCGTTGCAGAAAATATGAGAAATACAGGCCAGGCACGGTGGCTCACACCTGTAATGCCAGCAGTTTGGGAGGCCGAGGCGGGCGGATCACCAGGTCAGGAGTTCGAGACCAGCCTGGCCAACATGGTGAAACCCATCTCTACTAAAAGTACAAAAATCGGTCGGGCGTGGTGGCGCACCTGTAATCCCAGCTCTGGAGGCTGAGGCAGGAGAATCACTTGAACCCGGGAGGCGGAGATTGCGGTGACCTGAGATCGCACCATTGCACTCCAGCCCGGACTCCGTCTCAAAGGAAAAAAAAATTAACAACAAGAACACTAATATCAGTTACAATATATTAACATAGTTCATATAATTAACATCATAACACACTGTTGCAATGAACTTGGGTATCATTTACGACATAGAAATAATGTGGCTTATCGATTATTATGTGTTATGTGATGCACTACTGCATTCACTATGCTATCGGTTATAATATATACAATTACCATAGCAGGCTGGGCACAGTGGCTCACGCCTGTCATCCCAGCACATTGGGAGGCCGAGGTGGGTGGATCACGAGGTCAGGAGTTCAAGACCAGCCTGGCCAATGTAGTCAAACTCCGTCTCTACTAAAAATACAAAAATTAGCGGGGCATGCAGGCACACGCCTGTCATCCCAGCTACTCGGGAGGCTGAGGCAGGAGAGTCACTTGAACCTGGGAGGCGGAGGTCGCAGTGAGCCGAGATCACGCCACTGCACTCCAGCCTGGGCGACAGAGCGAGACTGCATCTCAAAAAAAAAAAAGAAAAGAGAAGGAAATGCATTGGAGGTAATGCTGTGGCGAGCACTGCTCTGAATAACAAGAATCTCCATTGTGGGTTTTGGCAGAGCAGAGCTTAGGGGAACCAGTGCTCAGGCAGCTAAGGTCACGGTGACATGCGGATATCCCGTGAGCACATGCAGCTCCGAGGCCGAATGGTCAACCTGGATTTGTCTCGCTCTGTCGCCGTCTCGGCTCACTGCAACCTCCACCTCCTGGGTTCAAGAGCTTCTTGTGCCTCAGCCTCCCGACTAGCTGAGATGACAGGCGCCTGACTCATTTTGTGTGGGTTTGGTAGAGACAGGATTTCATCATGTTGGCCAGTTGGTCTGGAACTCACATCAGGTGATCCGCCAGGGCTGAGCCACCGCGCCCGGCCCTAAGGACCTTTTTCTGAAATTACGTTGAACCGATCAAAAAGTTTTTGGCCTTGACCGGGTGTGGCGTTCAGGTCTGTCATCCCAGGGCTTTGGGAGGCCGAGGCGGGTGGATCACGTCAGGTCAGGCTTCCAGACCAGCCTGACCAATGTGATGAAACCCCATCTCTACTAAATATACAAAAATGAGCTGGGCGAGGTGGTGGGCACCTGTAGTTCCTGCTCCTTGGGAGCTTGAGGCAGGAGAATGGCCTGAACCCGGGAGGCGGAGGTCACAGTGAGCCGAGATTGTGCCACTGCACTCCAGCCTCGGGGACAAGAGGGAGACTTTGTCTCAAAACAACAACAAAAACCTTTGGCCTTAATGCAGGGTAACTCAGGGAGAGGTGGGGCCCCCAAATCGACCCCACGTGGAAGCTTACCTGCCCCCCTCAAAGAAGAAAAGCTTATAGAACAGCTCTTATGTTTTCCGTGGCACCTGTGAGATTCTCCGTGACTCTCTCAGCCCTGATTGCACAGCCCCTGCGGGCTCCAGCCTCACCCATGTTCCAGCGCCTGCCAGGGGACCCCTGGTGGACCCACTCGTGTCCTTGCTCTTGGCCCTGAGGCCTCCCGGCCTCACCTTCCGAAGTCAGCCTGGCTTTGCCCCTGTGGTGCTGTTTCGTAGTCATACTGTCAGGTAAGCCTCTCTGCGAGACACCTGGCCAGGCGGCTCACGCCTGTAATGATCCCAGGACTTTGGGAGGCTGAGGACGGCGGATCACGAGGTCAAGAGATCGAGACCAGCGTGGCCAACATGGTGAAAGCCCATCTCTACTAAAAACAGAAAAAATTAGCTGGGCGTGGTGGTACACGCCTGTGATCCCAGCTCCTCAGGAGGCTGAGGCAGGAGAATTGCCTGAAACCAGGAGGCGGAGGTTGCAGTGAGCCGAGATCACGCCACTGCACTCCAGCCTGGGTGACAGAGTAAGACTCTGTCCCAGATAGATAGATAGATAGATAGATAGATAGATAGATAGATAGATGTCTCGCTTTCTTACAGAAGGACCTGGGGATGGACGGATAAATAAATAACTCGAAGTCTGGCTTTCTTACAGAAGGACCTGCGAGCCCCGGACATGGTCATCGGAGCAGACACGATTGTGGTGAGTGCCTTCAGGGTGTCTCTTCTCTAACGTTCCATTTGCTATTCACGTGCCTGGGGGCTCGGCCTGTTCTGGGTCCCTGTGAAGACAGCAGGTCCTTTGAGGGTCGCCGGCAATGCCTGCTGGTGATGAGCCACTCCCAGAATAAACCTCGGAGGCAGAGGGAAGGGCTGGACTCAGTTCCGGAAACTACCATCACTTTCCATCCGGAAAGTACCACCAAATGAGAGGCCTGAAGGCACAGGAAGGGCCAGGAGCGACAGCTCACGCCTGTAATACCCGCACTTTGGGAGGCCGAGGTGGGCGGATCACAAGGTCAGAAGTTCGAGACCAAAATAGTGAAACCTTGTCTCTACTAAAAATACAAAAAAAGAAAAAACAGCTGTGCGTGATAATAATCACACCTGTCATCCCAGCTACTTAGGAGGCTGAGGCAGAAGAATCTCTTGAACCGGGAGGCGGAGGTTGCATTGAGCTGACAGCAACAAAGCAAGACTCTGTCTCCAAAAAAAACCCAAACAGGTGTTCACCCAAAAACTTATACGTGAATCTTCACAGCAGCTAAAAGGTCCAAACGGCCCAAGTGTCCGTGAGTGGGTAAAAGTAATTACATCATGGACCATCCACACACGGTGGAATACTACACAGCTATGAAAAGGAACAAAGTTGGTCAGCTGCGGTGACTCACGCCTGTCATCCATCCTAGTGCTTTGGGAGGCCGAAGCGGGCAGCTCACCTGAGGTCAGCTGTTCGAGACCAGTGTGGCCAACACGATGAAACCCCATCTCTGCAAAAAATACAAAAAATTAGCTGGGCGTGATGGTGTGCACCTGTAATGTAATCCCGGCTACTTTGGAGGCTGAGGCATGAGAATCGCTTGAACACAGGAGGCTGAGGTTGCAGGGAGCCGAGATCCCGCCACGGCACTCCAGGCTGGGCGACAGAGCGAGAGTCCATCTCAAAAACAAGGAAAGGGGAGGAGAGGGAAGGGGCTCTAAAAAGGCTGCAGCATAGGAAAGGAAAGGGGAGGGGGGAGGGGGGGAGGAGGCAGGAGGGGAGCGACTCTAAAAAGGCTGCCACATAGATGAACTTTGAGGACGTCAAAGAGGACCATACGTTACAGGATTCCATTTCTTTCTTTGTTTTATTTATTTATTTATTTTGAGATGGAGTCTCGCTCTGTCTCCCAGGCTGGAGTGCAGTGGCGCGATCTGAGCTCACTGCAACCTCCGCCTCCCGGGTTCAAGCGATTCTCCTGCCTTAGCCTCCCGAGTAGCTGGGATTACAGGCACCCGCCCCATGCCTGGGTAATTTTTGTAGTTTTTAGTAGAGACGGGGTTTCACCGTGTTGGCCAGGCTGGTCTCGAACTCCTGCCTCAGCGTCGCAAAGTGCTGGGATTACAGGCTCGAGCCACCGCAGCCGGCTGTGGGATTCAGTCTCTCTGCAGTGTCCACAACGGGGAAATGCACAGTGAAAGAAAGAGGATTGGTGGTTACCAGGGGCCGGGGGAGAGGGCGGGGGGACAGCTTCAGGGGCACAGGGACCCTTTTCGGAGTGATGAGAACATTCTGGAACCAGGCAGGACGTGGTAAGCGCAGTTACTTGTTTAAAATGGTGACTCTCAGGCTGTGTCAGTTTCATTTCCGGAAAACAGCTGACTTCTGTGAATGGTTCAGTGGGGTTAGCAGACCTGACTCACACGGCGGGAACCAACTCCCTCCTTTCCTCTCGCAGACCGTGGGGCGGCTGATTCTGGAGAAGCCGGTGGACAAGCAGGACGCCTACAGAATGCTGTCACAGTAAGCGCCGTGCTGGCCGCGGGGCAGTCTCGGGTTCCGGGCCGCAGAGTAGCCGTCTGTGCTGTCTGAGCTGTGCCGTGTGATCTGTTACATGTGTGCTGTTCTGTGTGAGCTGTGCCGTGTTGCTGTGCCTTGTGAGCTGTGCCGTGTGTGCTGTGCCGTGTGATCTGTGCCGTGTGAGCTGTGCCATGTGAGCTGTGCCGTGTGTGCTGTACCATGTGTGCTGTGGCGTGTGAGCTGTGCCGTGTGAGCTATTCCGTGTGTGCTGAGCCGTGTGAGCTGTGCCGTGTGTGCTGTGCCGTGTGAGCTGTGCCGTGTGTGCTGAGCCGTGTGTGCTGTGCCGTGTGAGCTGTGCCGTGTGTGCTGAGCCGTGTGAGCTGTGCCGTGTGAGCTGTGCCATGTGTGCTGTGCCGTGTGAGCTGTGCCGTGTGATCTGTTCTGTGTGAGCTGTGCCATGTGTGCTGTGCCTTGTGTGCTGTGCCATGTGAGCTGTGCCGTGTGTGCTGTGCCGTGTGAGCTGTGCCGTGTGTGCTGTGCCGTGTGAGCTGTGCCGTGTGAGCTGTGCCGTGTGTGCTGTGCCGTGTGTGCTGAGCCATGTGAGCTGTGCCGTGTGAGCTGTGCCGTGTGTGCTGTGCCGTGTGAGCTGTGCCGTGTGTGCTGTGCCGTGTGTGCTGTGCCGTGTGTGCTGAGCCGTGTGAGCTGTGCCGTGTGTGCTGTGCCGTGTGAGCTGTGCCGTGTGTGCTGTGCCGTGTGTGCTGTGCCGTGTGAGCTGTGCCGTGTGTGCTGAGCCGTGTGAGCTGTGCCGTGTGTGCTGTGCCGTGTGTGCTGTGCCGTGTGTGCTGAGCCGTGTGAGCTGTGCCGTGTGTGCTGTGCCGTGTGAGCTGTGCCGTGTGTGCTGTGCCGTGTGTGCTGTGCCGTGTGAGCTGTGCCGTGTGTGCTGTGCCGTGTGAGCTGTGCCGTGTGTGCTGAGCCGTGTGAGCTGTGCCGTGTGTGCTGTGCCGTGTGAGCTGTGCCGTGTGTGCTGTGCCGTGTGTGCTGAGCCGTGTGAGCTGTGCCGTGTGAGCTGTGCCGTGTGATCTGTTCTGTGTGAGCTGTACCGTGTGTGCTGTGCCTTGTGTGCTGTGCCGTGTGAGCTGTGCCGTGTGTGCTGTGCCGTGTGAGCTGTGCCGTGTGTGCTGAGCCGTGTGAGCTGTGCCGTGTGTGCTGTGCTGTGTGTGCTGAGCCGTGTGAGCTGTGCCGTGTGAGCTGTGCCGTGTGTGCTGTGCCGTGTGTGCTGAGCCGTGTGAGCTGTGCCGTGTGAGCTGTGCCGTGTGTGCTGTGCCGTGTGTGCTGAGCCGTGTGAGCTGTGCCGTGTGAGCTGTGCCGTGTGTGCTGTGCCGTGTGTGCTGAGCCGTGTGAGCTGTGCCGTGTGTGCTGTGCCGTGTGAGCTGTGCCGTGTGAGCTGTGCCGTGTGATCTGTGCCGTGTGAGCTGTGCCGTGTGTGCTGTGCCGTGTGAGCTGTGCCGTGTGAGCTGTGCCGTGTGTGCTGTGCCGTGTGTGCTGAGCCGTGTGAGCTGTGCCGTGTGAGCTGTGCCGTGTGTGCTGTGCCGTGTGAGCTGTGCCGTGTGAGCTGTGCCGTGTGAGCTGTGCCGTGTGATCTGTTCTGTGTGAGCTGTGCCGTGTGTGCTGTGCCGTGTGAGCTGTGCCGTGTGAGCTGTGCCGTGTGTGCTGTGCCGTGTGAGCTGTGCCGTGTGTGCTGTGCCGTGTGAGCTGTGCAGTGAGGCAGTCCCCGTCCCTCCATGCTGTTCATTGTCTGGGATTCTTAGCGCTGTTCACAGAGGGTGTGGGGCCCACCGCAGGCTGTTACCCTCGGGAGAAGTGGGCCGTGCCCTGTTCTTTCCACAGGGCGTCCTGGACCTGAGCCCACAGCCTGTCCTCCACTCCCATCTCAGGACATGGAAAACACCCTGGGACAGCAGGCCCAGCTGAGAGCTGCCCGGCCTGGGACCTCCGGTTAGGGCCGCTGCCCGTGGGATTTGTGCACCCTTCCCCAGCCTGTCCGTAAAGGTTTGCTGTTGGGAGAAGCTGAGTGACTGATAAACTAGATCGTTTTGCTGCTTGAGAATGTGCCAAGCCGTTTTCCGCTTGTGGGTGGGGGGTGGCCGGGTTTTCCTTGCCATCATTCCTCTTATCATTCAGTGTATTTTTTACATACTCCCAGCGTTTTTCAGTAGTTTCCCTGGTGATGCCACGGCGGGCCGATCCGGGAGAAGAGGCTGGGGAGGGGCCGGGGCGGAGGCCACCTGGCTGCCTCTCTGGTTTTGGGAAACCCGTTCTGTGACTGCCACGTTTCACAGTGAGGGCACCGCTTCTGTCTGACAGGTTGAGTGGCAGAGAACACAGTGTGTGCACAGGTGTGGCGATCGTCCAGTGCTCCAGCCAAGGTAACCGTGGCCCGGGGATTGGGGTGTCCACGTGGGCCGGGACACTGGAGGGACCATGGCCTTGAGGGAGGATGGCGGCTGCCCACGCCCCCGTGGGGACCTGGGCTTATGGCGTGCTTGCGAAAGTTGTTTGCTGATTTGGAAGAGTGCAGGGGAAAGGACAATGTGCCATTTGTCTTATAAACATGCAGAAGAGGTCGGGCGCGGTGGCTCAGGCCTGTAATCCCAGCACTTAGGGAGGCTGAGGCAGGTGGATCACAAGGTCAAGACTTTGAGATCATCCTGGGCAACATGGTGAAACCCTGTCTCTACTAAAAATACAAGAACTAGCCAGGCATCGTGGTGGGCACCTGTAATCCCAGCAGTTAGGGAGGCCGAGGCAGGAGAGTCGTTTGAACCTGGGAGGCGGAGGCTGCAGTGAGCTGAGATCGCGCCACTGCACTCCAGCCTGGGCAACAAGAACAAGACTCCATCTCAAAAACAGAAAGAAAAGACCTAGAAGTGGAAGGAATGTGTCTACAGAATCGTTTCTACGCCAGGAGAGGGCTTTGCAGGATGATTTCCAAGCACGTGGTGTAAAATACTGTGATTGCGTCAGGGTCTGGCATGTCTGTGATGCCACGGCAGAGTCCTGTCGGCATGTGGTGTCTTATGACCACAGAGAGACCCTTCTCTCCATCTCATGATCTGAGCTTTAACCTTAATGCAGCTCAGCTGTTTCTCAGCTCAAAAAGGAGGGGTACAAACACCCCTGCCCAGCCTGCTCCCCATCATGGGACTCATGGCATAACTCCTTTTGGTATTTCTTTCTTTGGTTTCGGGAGGGGGAGGGGGAGACAGAGTCTCCTCTTGTTGCCCAGGCTGGAGTGCAGTGGTGCGATCTCGGCTCACAGCAGCCTCCAACTCCTGGGTTCAAGACATTCTCCCGCCTCACCCTCCTGAGTAGCTGGGATTTTAATAGCTTAAAAGAAAAGTTTTAGGTCAGGCACAATGACTGACACCTGTAGTCTCAGCACTTTGGGAGGCCAAGGTGGGTGGATCACCTCAGGTCAGGAGTTCGAGACCAGCCTGACCAACATGATGAAACCCCCTCTCTACTGAAAATAGAAAGATTAGCTGGACGTGGTGGTCCATGCCTGTGATCCCAGCTACTGGCGAGGCTGAGGCAGGAGAATCGCTTCAACCTGGGAGGCGGAGGTTGCAGTGAGCTGAGATCGCCCCACAGTGGCACTCCAGCCTGGGCAACCAGCAAAACTCTGTCCAAAAAGAAACAGTTTTCTTGAAAACCAGACAAAGGGCCAGTAACGTTTTAAGTAAAAAGTTAACAGCGTTGCTTCAGACTTTTACTCGTTTCCTCCATGCGGTTAAGTTTGGTTTTCTTTGATATTTACGAACATTTCAGTTTTCCGGGGGTCTTAACTTTTTTCGTGTTTATTTTTGATGTCACAATCTTTAAAGTTATCAGAAACCGGAGCAGGTGCAGTGACACGCCCATAATCCTAGCACTTCGAGAGGTCGAGGCGGGTGTATCACTGGATGCTGGCAGTTCGAGACCAGCCTGGCCAAAACGGTGAAACCCCGTCTCTACTAAAAATACAAAAATTAGCGGGGTGTAGTGGCGGGCGCCTGTAATCCCAGCTACTCGGGAGGCCGAGGCAGGAAAATCCCTTGAATCAGGGAGGCGGAGGTTGCCGCGAGCCAAGATCTCACCACTGCACTCCAGCCTGGGTGACAGAGCAAGACTCTGTCTCAAAAAAACAAGAAAAAATGAAAGTCGTTAGAAACCTGTATGTAAATGTACTTGTTTCCCGTCCCCCCGCCCCAAGACAGAGTCTTGCTCTGTCGCCCAGGCTGAAGTGCAGTGGCGTGATGTGAGGTCACTCTAACCTCCTCCCGGGTTCAAGCACTTCTGCCTCAGCCTCCTAATATCTGGGATCACAGGCGCCCGCCACCACAACCAGCTAACTTTTGTATTTTTAGTAGAGGTGGGGTTTCACCATGTAGGTGAAACCCTACCTCTCAAACTCCTGACGTAGTGATCCACCCACCTCGGCCTCCCAAAGTGAGCCTCCGTGCGCGGCCTCCCATTAGAGGTCTATAGTTGATTATAGAACCATTTTATAAAGAGAAGCAAAACGAGACACCGACTGTCTGTGGATGACAGAAAGTTTTAGGGCCGCGGTAGTGAAACATAAGTACATTGGTTACCTCTGTGTCATACACCGTAACAATTGTAATTATTACTGATGGTGTACACTAACTCATGTTAGAATTACAGGAGTTTTTTTAATGATTTTGGAACACGTGCTAATAACATAAGTATAGAATCCAGCCCTAAGATACAGATGCACCATTTTATATTTCTATTAAAAATACATAATATTTATTTTATATGTTTTATATAATAAAAACATTTATATTAAAAATATAAAATACACAATTCTATATTTGACCATGTTTTCTGTGTATTATTATTATTTTTTTTTGGAGACAGAGTCTTGTTCTGTTGCCAGACGCCAGGCTGGAGTGCTGTGGCGCAATCTCGGCTCAGTGCAACTTCCGCCTCCCGGGTTCAAGCCCTTCTCCTACCTCAGCCTCCCCAGTAGCTGGGATTACAGGTGCCCGCCACCACGCCCGGCTAATTTTTGTGTTTTACTGGAGACAGGGTTTCACCATGTTGACCAGGCTGGTCTCGATCTATTGACCTCGTGGTCCACCCACCTCGGCCTCCCAAAGTGCTGGGATTACAGGCGTGAGCCACCACGCCCAGCCTCCTGTGTAATTTTTATACTAAATAAGCCACATAGGTTATTTTTCAACTTTAGGGAACCTATTAATAGTATTTTAAAGGATTAATCAGACCAGGAAAAATAATTATCATTTGATGTTGGATAGTTTGTTAGGAATTCGAAGTTTAAAAAACACGAAAACCTTTGTGGGAACTAATATTCCATCCAGTACAATTGTGTGTAGTTCCCTCTGGAGCCACTAGGGGAGGCTCCCTCCTGCCTCTCGCAGCTCCTTGGGCTCCAGCATCCATGGGCTTCTGGCCCCATCACTCCAGCCTCCACCTCCTCCGTCTCTACGAGGCCTCCTCCTCTGTGTCAGTGTCTCCTCTTTTGCCTCTCTTACAGACACTTGTCATTGGCTTTAGGACCGACCCTGAACCCAAGATAATTTCATTTTGACACCCTTTCCCTAATTTCATCCGCAAAGTTCCTATTTCAAAATAAGATCCCATTCCCAGGTTCCAGGTGGACATGGATTTTGGGGGAGCCCCTTGGACCCAGGCCAGTTGATCGGGGAGCTCTCCTGCAGGTCCCCCAAGCTGCCCTCATGCTATGCTTGTGGCTTTTCCACCCGCTGCTGAAGTCCTCGTGTTGACCCCAAAACTTTCACGCCAAGGCTTCACAGAAGACCGGTGCTCTTCCTGCTGGAGCGTGGGTCGCGCTCTCGGCCTCCTCCTACGCCCCGTGATTTTATTGGCTTCTTTTTTGTTCTGTCCTTTCCCTCTTTTTGTTGGAAACATGCTCAGTGGCGCAAAGCAAAATCAGCCCTGAGACAGCGGATCTCAGCAACACAGTTTTTACCTCCTGGGCTGCAGGGAGGGGACCCTCAGTAGCCATCTTGCCACGAGAGTACAGTGAACCAAGGAAAGCACACACATGTATCCCTGACGCATGTGGGGTCGTCCTTCCTGCCGTGTCTGAGCCCCATGGGCCGGAGCCAGATCTCAGCATCTAAACTAAAACCCGACTGGCTGACAACTTAAAACTTTTCTAAACAGGTGACAGCCACGGAGAGCTGGGACCCGCCTGTGAGCACGTCCAGCTCTGATATCTCGGTGAAAGGACAAGGACGTAGAATGTCCTATGTGCCTGTGAGCTCAGCATGTCTAACAGCTACGTAGGATGGGGCTTCACAGAGAGTTATTAGCACACTTATTCTTTAACAAGAAAGGAAACTTTAAAAGGGCACTTTTCTACTTCCCACTCTTTACTTGTCTGAAATAAAACCTTTTCCACCGCGAACCTCCGTGTCTGAACTGTGCGCTACGCTCAGGTAAACAGCACACCACAGCCCTGCAGGTGTCAGGCCCTGCAGGGGACAAGCTGGCATCCACGCTCACACCATGGCCCTGTGCTTGCAGACAATAAGCTGGACACCAGGGTCTCGGAATTCTACGAGGAAACGATGGTGAAGTTCTCGGAGCTGTCGGAGGACCTGCTCTGGGAATACATCCACAGTGGGGAGCCCATGTGAGTCTCGGGGCGCTGGGGGCGGGGAGACACGAAGGCCTGCCCACCCTCACACGTGGGGTCCCAGCCAGCCTTGGGAAAGGAGGCCCGGTACCTGCCCCCACAGGGCTGAGCCTGAGGCTGTGTGGCAGAGGGACGTGTACCACAGTTATCTATAGCATACAACATACAGTGTGTCTGTAATTATACATGACATAATGTAACATGGAACTGTATTCACACATAATTTATATATTACATGTTGATTGTATGTAATACGTTAATTACATACATGTTAACGGTTATTAGATATTACTATATATGGATATATATGACAATATACATCATATGAATGTGTATATGTTTATATATAATAGGTTATACTGTAATATACATAAATATAATTTTGATTAATGCTTATTGTTAAATGATTAATTTTAATTTATATCAACTAATAGTAATATGATGATTCCATCTCAAAAAATAAAAGTGAAAAATAAATAAAAGTGTTTTTTTAAAGAGAGAAAAGAGCTTCGGCCCAGCACTGAACTCTCCTTAATAGGAAGCTACCCAGAGAAGATGCGTCTGGCTCTTGTACCCTCTGGCCTGACTGCCCAAAGTGGAGGGCAGCCCTGGCCACGGGTTTTTCTTTTGAGGCGGAATCTTGTGCTTGTTTCTGAAGCTGGAGGGCAGTGGTGCAATCTCGGCTCACTGCAACCTCCACCTCCCGGGTTCAAGCAGTTCTTCTGCGCCAGCCTCCTGAGTAGCTGGGATCACAGGTACCCAGCATCATGCCTGGCTGATTTTTGCATTTTTAGTACAGACGGGGTTTCTCCATGTTGGCCAGGCTGGTCTAGAACTCGCGACCTCAGGAGTTCGTCCACCTCGGCCTCTCACAGTGCTGGGATGACAGGCGTGAGCTACTATGCCCAGCTGATCTTTGCGTTTTCAATACATACGGGGTTTCTCCATGTTGGAGGCTGGTCTCGAACTCACAAGTTCAGGTGTCCCTCTGGCCTTGGCCTCTCACAGTGCTGGGATGACAGGTGTGAGCCACCGCGCCCGGCCCTGGTGGCTGTGGCATATCTAAGGGGAGATGTTTCTCCTGGTTGTGACCTCTTCTCTTCCACTGCCCCCGCCAGGGACAAGGCAGGCGGCTACGGGATCCAGGCTCTCGGCGGGATGCTGGTGGAGTCGGTGCACGGGGACTTCCTCAATGTCGTCGGCTTCCCGCTCAACCACTTCTGCAAGCAGCTGATACAGCTGTACGACCCGCCCCGGCCGGAGGACCTGCAGCGTGTCAAGCACGGCTCCATCCCGGCCGTGGACACCTTCGAAGACCTCAGTGACGTGGACGAAGGCGGCCCGGCGCCCACTCGGAGGGACAAGGCTGAGGCTGGAGTGGCCAGAGACGCCACAGCAGAGGCTGAGGGGAACAGGACCTGTGAGACCCTGCCCCCGTTCCCCACACGCCTCCTGGAACTCATCAATGGCTTCAAAACATCGAAGGTACCTGTGTCTGCATCCTCGGGCCACTGTCCCAAATGACCACACGCAGGGCTTAAATCCACAGGAGTCTTGTCGTCACAGTCCTGGAGGGTGGCAGGCTGAGATGAAGGTGTCTCGGGCACGCCTTCTCTGGCGGTTCTAGCGAGGGTCCTTCCTGCCTTTCCCAGCTCCTGGCACCTCCAGCATCACTGGGCTTGTGGCCCCATCACTGCAGTCTCTGCCTGTGTCTCCACGTGGCCTCCTCCTGTGTGCCTGCATCTCCCTCATCCACTGACCCCGACTCATCTCAACTCCCCTAGCTCACAAAGACCCTTTTATTTTCAAATAAGATCCCGGGCAGGCGTGGTGGCTCACAGCTGTCATCCCAGCCCTTTGGGAGGCTCAGGTAGCCAGTTCAGAAGGTCAAGAGATGGAGACCATCCTGACCAACAGGGAAACCCCATCTCTGCTACAAATACAAAAATTAGCTGGGCACGGTGCATGCCTGTAGTCCCAGCCACTCGGGAGGCTGAGGCAGGAGAATCGCTTGAAGCCGGGAGGTGGAGGTTGTGGTGAGCTGAGATGGCACCATTGTTAAATTAGAGATCCTTATTTAATAAGAATTGATAAGTTATGATTATAATTTAAAATATAATTTATAGTTATAATTTATAATTATATAGTTGCTTATAATCACATAATTATATAAACATAATTACATAAATAACATAAATTATATAAATATAAATTATATAATTACATAAATTATATGAGTTATATGATTATATAACTTGTATATATAATTTGACTTGTATAATTTATACAAGCTATATGATTTACATAATTTAATAATTATATAAATAAGGCATATAATTCACATAATTTATATAATCATTATTATATAAGTATACCATTATATAATATAATTATGTACATTTATGTAATTTATAAATATGTAATTATATAACTTATAATTATGTAATTAATATGTTTATATTAGTTCAAATATATGTTAGTTAAATATATAATTCTGTGATTACATATTTATATATAATCGTGTAATTATAGTTAAGGTAAAGTGAGGTCATTTGGGAGGACCAAATCCAATAGGACTGGGGTCCTTGTAAGAAGAAGAGATATATAAATTACATAATTTATATAATTTATTAGCCACTGGGAGGTTTATAAACAACAGAGTCCTGGAGGCTGGAGGTCTGAGATCCAGGTGTGGGCAGGGCCGGCTCCTCCTGAGGCCTCTCTCATGGGCTTGGAGACGCCATCTTGTCCCTGTGTCCTCACGGGGTCGTCCCTCTGTGCGTGCCTGTGTCCTCACCTCCTCTTCCTATAAGCACCCCGGAGTGCTATTGGATCTGGTCCACCCAAATGACCTCATTTTACCTTTATCATCTCTTTAAAACCACGCCTACAGGCCGGGCACAGTGGCTCACACCTGTCATCCCAGCACTTTGGGAGGCCTAGGTGGGCAGATCACCTAAGGTCAGGAGTTCGAGACTGTCCTGGCCAACACGGTGAAACCCTGTCTCTGCTAAAAACACACAAATTAGCCGGGTGTGGTGGTGCACACCTATAGTCCCAGCTACTCTGGAGGCTGAGTCAGGAGAATCGCTTGAACCTGGGAGGCAGAGGTTGCAGTGAGCCGAGATCGTGCCGTTGCACTCCAGCATGGGCAACAGAGCAAGAGTCCATCTCAATAAATTTAAAAAAAAATTTAATTAGGGAAAAAAAACCTGCCTACAAATAGAGTCACATCCTGAGATACTGGGGGGATTAGGGATTGAACGTGCGGGTTTTGGGCTTGACCCATATCTGTAGCATGTTGATTTTCCCCCCGTGGGCTGGTTTTCCTACATGACATTCCTAGATGTGCTTTTATGCCTCGTAGCTGGGGACTTGATCCTGTAATCCCCACTGCTCGCTCTAAGAGAAAGCTCAGCGGCCACGTGAAACAGTTTCGACACCCTTGGCCTCCAGGATCTCGTGGAGGGTCTGTGGGAGGAAAAAGGGCTTGGCAAGTGACTCACTGAGTCCCCCCGCACCTGTTTTTAACGGGCAGGCCCTATTCACCGCCTGCAAGCTGAAGGTGTTTGATCTGTTAAAAGACGAAGCTCCCCAGAAGGCCGCGGGCATTGCCAGCAAAGTGGACGCCTCTGTGTGCGGCACGGAGAGGCTTCTGGACTTCTGCGCATGCCTGGGGTTCCTGGAGAAGTCAGAGCAAGGTAATGAGACTCTAACTTCGGCTTTGGCCCTGAGAATCTTGGCAGGGGGAAGTAAGTCACTGAGGGATGGTGACCTGGAGCCCAGGCAGGGTGAGGAAGGAGGGCCAGACCTTCTGTACCCTCTCTGCCCTCAGGGTCGCTGCTGTTCCCAAAAGGATTAGAAGCAGACGGTGGATGAGAGAGGGAACAGCGGTGGCTGCGAGTAGGCGGGAGAAATGCAGGCTCCTTATGAGGTCTGGTCTCAAAGTGGGCGTATCTAGTCAGTGTTCTCCTGAGAAAAAAACCCAACACGGGGACACAGACATGTCTTTACTTGTTTATTTATGTTTATAGACAGATAACCTGGATGGGTGGGTAGACAGATACATGGATAGACGATAAATGTATAGATACCTCGATATAGATGGATGATGGAGACGGATAGACATAGATGATAAGTAGAGCTGATATGTAAATGGATAGATAGATGGATGGATGCATTGATGAATGGATGGATAGATAATAGTAACTGGATAGATGGATGGATGGGAAGGTGGATGGGTTGGTAGATCAGTGAATGGGTGAACAGATGGGTGGGTGGGTGGGTGGGTGGATGAATGGGTAAATGGGAGGGTGGGTAGCGAATGGATGGATTGGTGAATCGGTGGATGGGTGCATGGATGGGTGGCTAGATCGATGGATGGGTGGATGGTTGGATGGGTGGATGGGTGGATGGATGAATGGATGGATGGATGGGTGGATGCTTGGATGGATGGATGAGAGTGTGGATGAACAGATGTATCATTGGATCGGTGGATGGGTTGTTGGGTGAGGGAATGGATGGATGAGTAGATGGATGGATTGGTGATTGGGAGGGTGGGTGAATAGATGGATGGATGGATGGATGGATGGATGGTAGATGAGAAGATGGATGAATAGATGTATCACTGGATCGGTAGATGAGTAGTTGGGTAAGGGAATGGATGGATGAGTGGGTGGGTGGATGGATGGATGGATGAATGGGTGGGTGGGAGGATGCATAATTGGATGGGTGGGTAGATGGATGGATGGGAGGGTGGATGAATACATATATCAGTGGATTGGTGGATAGCTAGTTGCATGAGGGAATGGATGGATGAGTGTGTGCGTGGATGGGTGGATGGATTGATGGATGGATAGGTGGGAGGGTGCATAATTGCATGGGTGGGTGGATGGATGGATGGATGGATGGATGGATGGGAGGGTGGATGAATATATGTATTCGTGGATCAGTGGGTGGGTAGTTGCGTGAGGGAATGGATCAATGAGTAGGTGGATGGGTGGATGGATGGATGGGTGATTGGGAGGGTGGGTGGATGGATGGATGGGAGGGTGGATGAGTGGATGTATCAGCAGATCAGTGGATGGGTAGTTGCGTGAGGGAATGGATGGATGAGTGGGTGGGTGGATGGATGGATGGGAGGGTGGATGGGTAGTTGCGTGAGGTAATGGATGGATGAGTGGGTGGATGGGTGGATGGATGGATGAGAGGGTGCAAAATTGGATGGGTGGATGGATGGACAGATGGATGGATGGATGGATGGATGGGAGGGTGTATGAATAGATGTATCAGCAGATCGGTGGATGGGTTGTTGGGTGAGGGGATTGGATGAATGAATGCATGGATGTGTGGATGGATGGATGGGTGATTGGGAGGGTGGGTGAATGGATGGATGGGTGGGTGGATGGATGGATGTATCAGTGGATCGGTGGATGGGTAGTTGCATGAGGGAATGGATGAATAAGTGGGTGGATGGATGGGTGTGGACGGGTGGATGATACATGGATGGATGGATCAGTGAATCAGTGGTTGGGTGGATGGATGAGTAGGTGGGTGATTGGGTGGATGATGGATGGGGTGGATGTGAGGATGGATGGGTGGATTATTGGATGGGTGGATGGATGGGTGGATGGGTGGGAGGGTGCATAATTGGATGGATGGATGGATAGATGGTAGGGTTGATGAACATGTATCAGTGGGTCAGTGGATGGATAGTTGGGTGAGGGAATGGATGGATGAGTGGGTGGATGGGTGGATCAGTGAATCAATGAATGGGTGGATGGATGAGTTAGGTGTGTTGATGGATGGATGAATGGGTGAGCGGTTGGATGGGTGGATGAGTGGGCATGTGGGTGGGTGGGTGGGTGGCTGGGTGAATGGATGCATGAGTGAATGACTAGGTGCGTGATTGGGAAGGTGGGTGAATGGATGGATGGATGGTTGGAAGGATGGGTGGATGGATAGATGGATGAGTTAGGTGAGTGGATGGATGGATGAATGGGTGGGCGGTTGGATGGATGGATGAGTGGGCGTGTAGATGGGTGGATGGATGGGTATGTGAATGGATGGATGAGTCAATGACTAGCTGTGTGACTGGGAGGGTGGGTGAATGGATGGATGGATGGATGGATGGATGGATGGATGGATGGATGGATGAGAAGCTGGATGAATACATGTATCAGTGGGTCGGTGGATGGGTAGTTGGGTGGGGGAATGTATGGATGAGTGGGTGAGTGGGTAGATGGTTGGATGAATGGGTGGGTAGTTGGATGGATGGATGAGTGGGTATGTAGATGGGTGGATAGATGGGTGGGTGAATGGATGGATGAGTGAATGACTAGGTGCATGATTGGGAGGGTGGGTGAATGGATGGATAGATGGATGGATGGATGGATGGATGGATGGATGGATGGATGGATGAGAGGGTGGATGGATGAGAGGGTGGATGAATACACATATCAGTGGATTGGTGGATGGGTAGTTAGGTGGGGGAATGTATGGATGAGTGAGTGGATGGGTAGATGTATGGGTGGGTGAGTGGATGAATGAGTGAATGACCTGGTGGCTGATTGGGATGGTGGGGGATGAGTGGGTGAGTGGGTAGATGGCTGGATGGATGGGTGGGTGAGTGGATGGATGAGTGAATGAGTAGGTGGGTGATCGGGAGGGTGGGTGAACAGATGGATGGGTGGGGAATGGATGGATAAGTGGATGGATGGGTGGATGGATGATGTGTTTTGTGAATCAAACAGAACTCTTCAGCACGATGCTAGAACAGAGAGCACATGGCCAAGTCCTTGAGTAGCTTGGGAAGGGCAGGAGGACAGACGACGCCTGAGCAGATTAGGAGACAAAGCATGCTGAAGTCGAGGCCCCAGAGGCTGCGCCCTTGCCACAGAGACACGTGACTATATCATTAAGAGTTCGGAGCATAGGAGGCAGAACGTCTTCCCAGCTAGAGGAGTTCAGTGCCATTCTCCTGTACTAAAAATCATGGTGGCTCATGCCTGTAATCCCAGCACTTTCAGAGGCCAAGGTGGGTGGATCACCTGAGATCAGGAGATTGAGACCAGCCTGAGCAACGTGGTGAAACTCTGTCTCTACTAAAAATACGAAATTACCCAGGTGTGGTGGCGCGTGCCTGTAGTCCCAGGTACTTGGGAGGCTGAGGCAGGAGAATCACCTGAATGCAGGAGGGGAAGGTTGCAGTGAGCCGAGATCGTGCCACTGCACTCCAGCCTGGGCAACAAGAGCGAAACACTGTCAGAAAAGAGAGAGTGAAGGGAGGAAGGGAGGGAGGGAAGGAGGGAAGGAGAGAAGGAAGGGAGGGAGGGAAGAAAGGAAGGAGGGAAGGAAATCATGATGAATATGGAGAAGGGGTTTGTGCACTTGACGTCTAGGAGCAGCTGTCGTCTGCACGGGCTGCCTGCTCCACAGTAGGTGTCAGGAACGGTCACCTTTCATGACCAACTTGAACCCAGGGCCGCTTCTGACACAGCAGAACCAGAGAGGTGCCAGGCCATCTGTTTACACGTATGGGTGTCCACTGACAGGTCCTCCGCCTTCCAGCCTCTCGTTCTGTGGGAGGGGGCATCCTGGCAGGGAGCTTGCGGGCTGCGTCTGCGGACAGCTGACCTGGGCATGAAGTGGGTGGAAGGAAGAACTTCCCTGTATCACTCGGGGCTCTCCAGGGCAACAGAACCCCTAGGATGTAACCTAGAAGATTTATTTATTTATTGTTTAGATGGAGTCTCACTCTGTCGCCCAGGCTGGAGTGCACTGGGACGACCTCGGCTCACTGCAACCTTCACCTCCTGCATCCAAGCAATTCTCCTGCCTCAGCCTCCCAAGTAGCTGGGGCTACAGGTGTGCGCCGCCCCAGCTGCCTAATTTTTGTTATTTTTAGTAGAGATGGGAAAACATCTTGGCCAGGCTGCTGTCAAACTCCTGACCTCATGTTCCACCCACGTCGGCCTCCCAAAGTGCTGGGACTACAGGTATGAGCCACCATGCCTGGCCTATTTTTTTTAAAAGGAGTCTGGCTCTGTCCCCCAGGCTAGAGTGCAGTGGCACGATCTAGGCTCACTGCAACCTCCCCCTCCCGGGTTCGAGCGATTCTCCTGCCTCAGCCTCCCGAGTAGCTGGGATTACAGGCGCCCACCACGACGCCTCTATTTTTAGTAGAGACAGGGTTTCCCCATGTTGGTCAGGCTGGTCTCGAACTCCCGACCTCGTGATCTGCCCACGTCGACCTCCCAGTGTGCTGGGTTGACAGGCATGAGCCACTGCGCCTGGCCTCTTTAGATAGAGTCTTGGTCTGTCACCCAGCCTGGAGTGCAGTGGCAGGACCTCCACTCTCTGCAACCTCTACCTCCCGGGTTCAAGTGATTCTCCTGCCTCAGCCTCCTGAGTAGCTGGTATGTCAGGCGCCCACCACCACGCCTGGCTAATTTTTGTTACTTTTGGTGGACATGGGGTTTCTCCATGTTGGTCAGGCTGGTCTCGAACTCCTGACCTCGTGATCCGCCTGCCTCGGCCTCCCGAAGTGCTGGGTGACCGCATGAACCACCGCAGCCGGCCTCCTTGGGTTTCCTTGTTCTGAGGTCACATGAGCATCCTGTTTCTTCAGGTTACAGTAACACAGAGGCGGCAAACCTCTACCTGACGTCGGATGGTGACTGGTCTCTTCATGGCTTCATCATGTACAGCAGTGAGGTCACCTGGAACCTCTTTACGCACCTGGAGTTCGCCGTCCGAGAGGGAAGAAACCAGCACCACCGGGTGCAGGGGAAGAAGGCGGAAGATGTGTTCCAGGTAGGGGGAGCCGCCGCGGAGCCTTTCCGCCTGGCGTGCGTCCTGCTAAGGCACGTTGGCGCACAGGGCAGCGTGGGCGCCTGGATCAGTCGGTCTCCAGGCCGGCACATCCCAAAGCCTTGGTGCTGTGGCTGTGTCTTCAGTCACCTCTGGAAAGGCCCACCGTAGCTATCGTCCACTGTTACCCCGCAGCAGCTGCAAACAGAACTGCCAGTGGCCGGGCGCGGTGGCTCACGCCTGTCGTCCCAGCACTTGGGGAGGGGCCGAGGTGGGTGGATCACGAGGTCGGGAGTTCAAGACCAGCCTGACCAACATAGTGAAACCCTGTCTGATAAAAATACAAAAAATCAGCCGGGCGTGGTGGTGGGCGCCTGTAATTCCAGCAACTCAGGAGGCCGAGGCAGGAGAATCGCTTGAACCCGGGAGGCGGAGGTCGTAGTGAGCTGAGATTGCGACATTGTACTTCAGTCTGGGACACAACAGCAAAACTTCATCTGAAAAAAAAAAATAAGAAACCAGAATTTCCTCCCAGAAAGGGGTTTGGAGGCCGTACGTCGGAACTCACACCTGGAATCCCTGCACTTTTTGAGACGAAGTTGGGAGGATGGTTTCAGCCCAGGAGTTTGAGACCAGCCTGGCCAACACAGTGAGACCCCATCTCTATAAAAACAATGAAAGATGAGGACGGGCTTGGTGGCATGAGCCGGTCATCCCAGCCAGCTTGGGAGGCCAAGGTGGGATGATCACCTGAGGTCAGGAGTTCGAGACCAGCCTGGCCAACATGGGGAAACCCCATCTCTACCAAAAATGCACAAAATTAGCCGGGCTTGGTGGCGGGCCTGTGATTCCACCTACTCGGGAGGCTGAGGTGGGAGAATCGTTTGAACCCGGGAGGCGGAGGCTGCAGTGAGCCAAGATCCCATTCATCTCCACACAGGCTGGAGATACTCTTGTCTCTCTGTTTCTGTGTTTCTGTCAAGAACACAGAGAGACTGAGACAGGGAGGCAGAGACAGGGAGGCTTGGAGAGACAGAGATAGAGGCAGAGAGAGAGACAGAAGGAGATGGAGAGATAGAAAGAGAACAGAGAGGGAGACAGACGCACAGAGGGACACACAGACTCACAGAGGGAGACAGAGACATGGAGGCTTGGAGGGACAGAGATAGAGGCAGAGAGAGACAGAAGGAGACAGAGAGATAGAGAACAGAGACAGCGAGACAGAGACACACAGAGGGAGACAGAGATAGGGAGACAGGCAAGGAGGCTTGGAGGGACAGAGATAGACGCAGGAAGAGACAGAAGGAGATGGTGCGATAGAGAACAGAGACAGCGAGACAGAGACAAACAGAGGGAGACAGAGATAGAGGCAGGAAGAGACAGAAGGAGATGGTGCGATAGAGAACAGAGACAGCGAGACAGAGACACAGAGGGAGACAGAGATAGGGAGATAGACAAGGAGGCTTGGAGGGACAGAGATAGAGGCAGAAAGAGACAGAAGGAGATGGTGAGATAGAAGGAGAACAGAGACGAAGGGAGACAGAGTGACACAGAGACAGAAGCCAGCAGTGGAGAGAGAAGCCGAGAGGCGCAGACAGGGGCCCCGAGCCGGAGTGAGCAGCCAGCCTGGGCCTCGAGGAGGATGCCCTGACTCTGTCGCTGCCGCCTGCCAAGGGGAGAGCCTGGGAGGCCACGAGGGATTTGGGGAGCCAGGGTGGAGGGTCTGTCCCCTGGGAGCCAGGCTCAGGAGCAGGCTGGGCAGGGCTTCCTTGCCCAGGGGGGACAAGGCACATCCAGGGTGGGAGTGGTGAGCGCAGCCCTGACCAGGACTGACCTGGGTTCCTCTGTGGCCGGGGTGGGTACCACCATGAGACCTGGGGCAGCTAAGAGGACCATATTCTCTGTCCGGGAGGACCCCCCTCTGCTTCCCTCTCCCCGGTTTTCCACGTTGAGATGTCCGTGGGTGACCCGGAGCTTCCAGGGTGAAAAGCCTCCTTGTCTGGGAAACTCGGATGCTTGCAGGTCACGCCGTGTGTGGACCCAGTGATTCCAAGGAGATCACCTCCAATTTGGGGGTCCTCTGTCCCCAGCCTTGGCACAGACATGGGTGCCCCACGCAGCTGTGCCATGAAGCCCCCTCTGCAGCGCAGGCGCCAGGGCCTGTGTGTTTTCTGCCTGGGGACAGGCCGAGCGAGCCCCCGGCCCGTGCGCCCCTGAGCCCCCGCTGTGTTCCAGGACGTGCTCTACCAGAGCCCCGAGACGCGGCTGTGGTTCATGCAAACCATGCATGGCCTGTCCAAGCTGAATGCGCGGTACATAGCCACCGCCTTCGACCTGTCTGGCTTCTCCTCCGCCTGCGACGTGGGAGGTGGGTACAACCCCCCTGCCCTGCCACCACTCCACCCGTGACTTTGTCTGTATTAAGCTGCAGGCATTAACCGGGCGCAGTGGCTCACGCCTGTAATCCCAGCACTTTGGGAGGCCAAGGCGGGCGGATCATCTGAGGTCAGGAGTTCGAGACCAGCCTGGTCAACATGGAGAAACCCTGTCTCTACTAAAAATACAAAAATTAGCCGGGCATGGTGGCGTGCGCCTACAGTCTCAGCAACTCAGGAGGCTGAGGCAGGAGAATGGCCTGAACCCAGGAGGCAGAGGTTGAGTCTTGCTCTGTCGCCCAAGCTGGAGTGTGATGGTCTGATCTCAGCTCACTGCAACCTCCACCTCCCGGGTTCAAGCGATTCTCCTGCGTCAGCCTCCCAAGTAGCTGGGATTACAGGCACCTGCCACCACAACTGGCTAATTTTTGGGCAGGCTGGTCTCGATGTCTTGACCTGGTGATCCACCCGCCTCGGCCTCCCAAAGTGCTGGGATGACAGGCATGAGCCACCGTCCCCGGCCGTGGTGTCTGCATCCCCATGGCAGGAAGGAGAAGGGAGGAGTACAGACCCCCACCCCGGGCTGGAAGGATTTCCCTCCAAGTCTGTGTCCCCACACGTGGCCCCGAATGGCTGCTGTGGCACCGGCCATCGCGTGAACGTTACTTCTACTCGGTTGAGCTTTGGAGGGTGGTCAGGGTTCCGACGGCACCGGGACGACCCGGCCGCACAGCCGGCATTTGCTTCCCCGCAGGCTGCACGGGCGCGCTGGCCCAAGAGCTGGTCCGGGAGAACCCGCATCTGCAGGTGACCGTGTTCGACCTCCCCGAAACCATCGAGCTGGCCGCACACTTCCAACCCGCCGGGCCGCAGGCGGCTCAGGTCCAATTCGCTGCCGGTGAGGCTTCCTCGCGTTTGCCCTGCTGCCTCACCGCCTTCCAGAGAGCACGCGGGGCGGCGTGCGTGCATGCGTGTTTCTGTGTGTGCTTTTCCACAGTATGTGTCTCTGGGTGTCTGTGTGCATAGCTGACTGTGCTGTGCTTGTGTGTCTCTGTGTGCTATGTCCTTGTGTGTGGTGTATATGTGTCTCTGTGTGGTGTGACCTTGTGTGTCTGTGCGTGAGACTCTGTGTCTGCGTCTGCACATGTGTCTGTGCATGGCATGTCTCTGTGGTGTGTGGTGGTTGTGTATGTGTCTGTGAGGGTGTATAGGTGCGTGCGTCTCTGCGGGTGTGTGTGTGTCTGTGTGTGTGTCTGCATCTGTGTGCATGGTGTGTGTCGTGGGTCTCTGCATTTGTGACTGCTGCGGGTGTGTGTGTGCCTGTTTGTGTGTCTGTGTGGGTTTCTGTGTTTGTGTATGTCTGTGTGGGTGTTTGTGTGTGCATGTGTGTCTGGTATGTTCTTCCATGCGTGTCTGTGCATGAGACCGTCTCTGTGTGTGTGTGTGTCTGCATCGATGTGCATGGTGTGTGTCGTGGGTGTCTGTGCATATGTGACTGCTGCGGGTGTGTGTGTGTCTGTGTGTCTGTGTGGGTTTCTGTGTTTGTGTATGTCCATGTGGGTGTTTGTGTGTGCATGTGTGTCTGGTATGTTCTTCCATGCGTGTCTGTGCATGAGACCGTGTGTGTGTGTGTGTGTGTGTGTGTGTGCAGTTCTGTGTGGTGTGTGGTTGTGTATGTATCTGAGGGTATGTGTGTATGTGTATGTCTGCGTGTGTCTCTGCGGGTATATATGTGCATGTCTGTGGGTCTGCCTCTGTGTGCATGGTGTGTGGCTGTGGATGTCTGTGCGTATGTGACTGTTGCGTGTGTGTGTCTGTGTGGCTTTCTGTGTTTGTGTATGGCCGTGTGGGTGTTTGTGTATGCATGTGTGTCTGTTATGTTCTTCCATGTGTGTCTGTGCATGAGACCGTCTGTGTGTGTGTGTGTGCGCGTGTGTGTGTGTGTAGTTCTCTGTGGTGTGTGGTTGTGTATGTTTCTGAGAGTGTGTGTGTGTGTGTGTGTCTCTGCGGGTGTATGAGTGCATGTCTGTGTGTCTCCCTCTGCGTGCATGGTGTGTGGCTGTGGGTGTCTGTGTGTATGTGACTGCTGCGCGTGTGTGTGTGTGTACCTGTGTGTGGGTGCGTCTCTGCGTGTCCGGGCATGTCTGTGGGTGCCTGTTTGTGGCGTGTGATGCATGTGTGTCTGTGACTGTATGTGCGTCGGTGCATCTGTGTGGCTATATTTGCGATGCCCGTGTGTCTGCGTCCCTGGGTATGCCTGTGTGTGTGTGTGTGTGTGTGTGTGGGTACACAGAGACACGAGGGCATCTCTAACCAGGTAGACGTGGCCAGGCGCGGTGGCTTACGCCTGTAATCCCAGCACTTTGGGAGGCCGAGGTGGGTGGATCACCAGAGGTGGAGAGATCGAATCCAACCCGACCAACATGGAGAAACCCCATCTCTAGTAAAAATACAAAAACTCGGCTGGGCACAGTGGCTGATGCCTGTAATCCCAGCACTTTGGAGGCCAAGGTGGGCAGATCACCTGAGGTCGGGTGTTCGAGACCAGCCTGACCAACATGGTGAAACCCCATCTTAAAAAAAAAAATACAAAAAACTTAGCCTGGTGTGGTAGCTGATGCCTGTAATCCCAGCTATTCGGGAGACTCAGGCAGAAGAATCACTTGAACCCAGGAGGTAGGTGGAGGTCTCAGTGAGCCGAGATCAGACCAGTGCACTCCAGCCTGGGCAATGAGCGAAACTCCACCTCGGAAAAAATAAATAAATAAAACAATAATAGTAATGGTAAATACGCCGGACGCGGTGGCTCACACCTGTCATCCCAGCACTTTGGGAGGCCGAGGCGGGTGGACCAGGAGGTCTAGAGATCGAGACCATCCTGGTCAACAAGGTGAAACCCCGTCTCTACTAAAAATACAAAAAATTAGCTGGGCATGGTGGCACCTGACTGTAGTCCCAGCTACTCGGGAGGCTGAGGCAGGAGAATTGCCTGAACCCAGGAGGCGGAGGTTGCGGTGAGCCAAGATCGCGCCATTGCACTCCAGCCTGGGTGACAAGAGCGAAACTCCGTCTCAAAAAAAAAAAAAGTAATCTTGGCCGGGTGCAGTGGCTCACACCTATAATCCCAGCACTTTGGTTGACTGAGGCAGGAGGATCACAAGGTCAAGAGATCGAGACCGTCCTGGTCAACATGGTGAAACCCCGTCTCTACTAAAAATACAAAAATTAGCTGGACATGGTGGCACGTGCCTGTAATCCCAGCTACTCGGGAGGCTGAGCCAGGAGAATTGCCTGAACCCAGGAGGCGGAGGTTGTGGTGAGCCGAGATCGTGCCATTGCACTCCAGCCTGGGTAACAAGAGCGAAACTCCGTCTCAAAAAAAAAAAAAAAAAATAGAAAGAAATCAGCCAGGCTTAGCGGCTGGTGCCTGAAATCCCAGCTACTCAGGAGGCTGAGGCAGAGAATCACTTGAACCCAGGAGGGAGGCGGAGGTAGCAGTCAGCCGAGATCAGACCAGTGCACTCCAGCCTGGGCAACAAGAGCAAAACTCCATCTCAAATAAAGAAGAAAATAATAATAAATACAAAAGAACCACCAGGTGGGCGGCTGTGTGAAGCTGTCCTGGGTGCAGGTAGTCAGTGGGGAGTGGAGATGGGGAACGGCTGACCTCCGTGACCACGGGTGTCCACGGCACCGAGGCCACAGAAGGAGACCACTCAAGAGCTGCAACAGGGCGGCCCCAGGTTAGACTGAGAGAGGTGGCAGCCGCAGGTGCCTGCATGGATTGAGAGGAGACGCCTCCCGAGCCTGACTCGGCGGCATCCGACGTCGGCCAGGCCTGCGGGCAGAGGCGCTGGGCACCTCCATGCCCCTCTTCCCCCCAAGGTTTCTGGGTACCTTTCTAGTTTTTAAAGAAACACAATTGGCCGGGCACCGTGGCTCACATCACTAAACCCAGCACTTTGGGAGACTGAGGCAAGAGGATCACAAGGTCAAGAGATCGAGACTGTCCTGGTCAACATGGTGAAACCCCGTCTCTACTAAAAATACAAAAATTAGCCAGATGTAGTGGCAGGTGCCTGTAATCCCAGCTACTCAGGAGGCTGATGCAGGAGAATCGCTGAGGTGGAGGTTGCAGTGAGCCGATAATCGAGCCACTGCAGCCCAGTGACACAGAGAGACTCCATCTCAAAACATACACACACACGCCACAGTCGCCCTACAGCTCGTCTGCAGGAGAAACAGAAATGCTAAAGTTTATTTTACTTTTTGAGTCTTGCTCTGTCAGCCATGCTTAAGTAAAGTGGTGTGATCTCAGCTCACTGCAGCCTCCACCTCCCGGGTTTGAGCGATTCTCCTGCCTCAGCCTCCCGAGTAGCTGGGATTACAGGCGCCCACACCACACCCGGGTAATTTTTGTATTTTTAGTAGATAGATGGGTTTTTTGTATTTTTAGTAGGTAGTCGGGGTTTCACCATGTTGGCCAGGCTGGTCTCAAACTCCTGACCTCAGGTGATCCGCTCAGCTCGGCCTCTGAATGTACGGGGATGACAGGCATGATCCACTGCACCCAGCTATTTTGTTTTGTTTCCTTTTTGAGTTTGAGACGGTGTCTCCCTCAGTCGCCCAGGCTGGAGTGCGGTGCCACTGTCTCAGCTCAGGGCAACCTCCACTTCCCGGGTGCACGTGGTCCTCCTGCCTCAGCCTGCCGAGTACCTGGGATGACAGCACACGCCGCCACACCCAGCAAAGTTTTGCTTTTTTAGTAGAGACGGGGTTTCACCGCGTTGGCCAGGCTGATGTCGAACTCCTCAGCACATGTGATCCACCCGCCTCGGCCTCCCAAAGTGCCAG